ACTGCATACCCTATAGCACCCAGGTGTGCTTATTGTGTGTATATAATGCTGCTGTCTGTTCTTTTCTTTTATACTGGTGTTGTGCTTTGCATCAACTTTTCCTTGAATCGCACAAACAAGATCCACTGTCAAGTTTAGGATGGAAAGGCAGAGACTTTAACAGACCAGAATAGGATGATAAGTGCTAGAAAAAGAGACAAGAATCCTCATTTGCACATCCTGCCCTAAACTTAGTCTTGCAAATTCATCTTTTACCAAAACATTTATCTTTCTTAAACTTTTTATCCAAACTCCAAACAGCAGGAGGTTTCAGTTGCCTGAGAAATTATATAAATAGTCATTTGTTTCCTGTTCTCCTTCTCATCCTTAGATTGCTAGTTCTTGGTGTGAAACTCAGAAGGGTGGAAGGGTTAATGATATCATAAAAACCTAATCACATTTTTCTTTTTGATTCTTAAGTATAAACTTATAAATGCAATTATCAGATATGTTAAGATAAAAGCTTTGATCTTTTATTAATTGAAAACAAGATTACTGATGCACATTAACAATTTCTGTTGTCCTTATTAAAGCACAACTATTTAAGGGGCGGGTCTTCTCTGCTAGGAGAACACCCCTCTCGCCAGCCCTCTCATACAGCTTCCCAGACGCATGTTCATTACTAAGCTTCCACTTGGTGTACAGATCAAATCCCTGAAAACTGCATCTGAAAGTACTCCGCCTGTTTTCAAAGGATGTTTGGTTATTGTTCCAAGAACATTAAAATTCATTCCAGCCGGTTTTTCCAAACATGTGTCCTTCTAATTGCCAGTGTGATATTGATGGGTCATTTTTCTTATGGAGTAAAACACTATGCTTGTAATATGTACAGCTGATTTTTAATAAAAGTGTGTACGGGTATCTCCAATGCTCCTTGAATAAGGATACAAAGTGTTGCGTGGAATTTCATTAAATATTCCTTCATTTTAGGTATATACCCATTCCAGTCTTTTTTGGCTTTGGTAGCCAGCATTTATGGGCATATCTCATCATCATCTATACAAAAGTTCATCATTCTTTAAGTAATTCTTTAATCAAATAAGGGGTAAAATATACCCCCTGTAAATCCTACACCTCTGACTTCTAACAGAATTAAACTATGCAGCAGTCTGAAGAGAGACCAGTTTCATGCCAGCAATAGCTAATGATTTCATTAGGCAATAATTTTATGTCATTGGGAAAACATACCCTCCTTTACCATCTTCAGAGGCTGACTGATGTATTTTAGAAGATATTTATTTTTAGAAAACCTCTGTCCTCATCTTCACTGACTATCTCATCCAATTATCCCAAGTATTGACACCCCTGTCACTCAGGAAATTATAAAGGCTTTAGGAGCTCTTTGTCAGGAACAGGCACAAAGACCAAATGCATATTTATTATGAAGTTGCAATTAATCTCTGCCTACCACATCCTTCTCCATCAACCAAACACACACACACGCACACATACACACACACACACACACACATACACACGTACACACACATGCACACACATACACATGTACACACACATACACACGTACACACACATGCACACACATACACACATACACATACACACATACACACACACATACACACACACGTACACACACATACGTACACACACATACATACACACATACACACGCACATACACATACACACATACATACACACACATACACACACACATACACACACACACACACACACACATACACACATACACACATACATACATACACACACATACACACATACACACACATACATACACACACATACACACGCACATACACACACATACACACACACATACATGCACACATACACACACATACATACACACACATACACACACACACACACACACACACACACAATCCTAATTCTTGTTCCTCCTTTTTCCAGGGAGGAAGGGCAAACAAGTACTTCCCCAGGGCACAGAAGTGCAGAATCTGCACATAGCAGGTTCCTAAAAGCCATTTAATGAACTAAGTGTTAATGAAATCATGAAGAAGATCTAATACCAGACCAAAGGATACTGAAAGTTCAAAGGGTAGTGTTGGAAGTGCATTCTTCAAATTCATTAATTAAAAATATGTGTTTGATGGTAATTTTCCGTTAAATTATAGAAGAGTTTTTCTGTGATTTTTCATCATGAAGGAGTAGCTGGTGGAGGCTTTTCAGAAGATCAGGGGTCAGAGGCCTATCAAAATGCTGCCAAATTATAAAGCACAATTCTTATGTTCTCAAAAAACTCTGTGGAATAAGGAAGACTCTAGAGGCAGGTACCATGACACAAAGGAAGAGTTTTTGGATGGAGCAGTGGGTTCTTATAAGTCAGGATGTCCAAGGCTCCGTCTATGAACTTAAACCAGTGAAATATGCTAGCCACATCAAGGGACCCACAAATATAATGATGCATGTTTCAAAGTATTCAGGTGGTGCAAATTGAGCTATAAAACATTAAGGACCTCAGTAAATGCAATATCCACTCAGAGCACATCCTACACAGGAACAACAGAGTCTGTACACCCAGACCAAGGATAATGGATTTTTAATAATAAAATTATGCTCTTAGCCTATTGTCTATGGATACCTTCCTGAATTCTCTAAGGTAGAAGCCACCTAAATATTTGTTAAGTTCAGATCTTTGTACAAAGAACTGAGCTTATTCAAAACAATGAATTGAAGTAGCCTGAATGGAGACCTCACTCAGATGTTGGGAATGTCTAGGAGTATTCATTTAGAGAACACTCTGTCCATTGCATGACACAAGACCATATGCAGAGTGGATATATGTGTCTCTGCTGATGCACTGTCATTTTTTGTTGATCTGTCTGTCTGTCTCCTATAGATTTCATAAGTATTGCTGTCTAAGATGTAGGAGTCCCAACCTCTGTCTAATAGTCTACTACTTATAAAGCTAAAAGGACTTCAGATAAAATTTTTGCTAAATAATGATTTAGGAATATTTGCTGATGGTCAAATAATTTGCACTGCTGACACTACAATGGAATTTCCATGGTACACTCACAAATCAGTCTTACTTAACTCATTTTGAAAAAAGAAAAAGAAATACAGAGGAGTATTGTGGAAAATATGTAAGTACTGGAATCTGATAAACCAAATTCACATCCCAATTCTGTTGCTTATAGCTGTGTGATTTTAGGCAAGTTAACCAGTCTTTCTATATCACCATTCAGTTAGCCATAAAAATAAACTGATCTATTTGTCTAGACAGGATTCAATTAACTACCTAAGTATTTTAGTGGCCTTACCCTTCATTAGTATCAAAATGACAGACTGAAAAGGTATTAGATATTCTTTCAAAAACTCATTGTCATCTTTCTCTTCAATAAGTGATAATGGAAATAAGAGTGTCTAAATATAGTTATGCTACTACTGCATATCCTAATATTTTATTGTGTTTTGTCAAGAACAGGACACTTTAGGATCTTTGCCCACCATCAATCTGTTATCAAAGATGGGCAAATACCTTGTGTATAAAGAAAGGCTGAGAGCTATGAAGTAAAATTTATTCATACTGATTGACTAGTAAAGCCATATTCGGAACCTGGCTTTTAACTCTAACCAAATGGGTAAAGGTTTGGGGTTTTTAAAAACATTTTTATTAGTAGATAATGGTTGTGTGGTGGGGGGGGTTCATTGTGACATTCCCATGCATGCATACAATGTATTCTGGTTTGGGTCATCCCCTCTATTATTCTCCCTCTTCCCCCTCCACCTTTTAAAAATGACTTCAACAGGTTTCTTATTCATAAATGTGTACAAATGTGTACAACCATATTCACCCTTCTTTACCCTCCCTCTTCCATTAGTATCCTCCACTTAACATGACCTGTTGTATTTTCCTGGCCTTCATTGTTAAGTGTCTGTCTGTTGCTCATGAAGTTTTGTCTTGGTATCTTATCTGTAAATATATTGTACTTTAATCAGTTTAACACCCTCTGCTACTCTTCCTTACCCTTTCCTCCCATCCCACTCTGTGCTGTTCACAATTATCAGTGTGCTTCATTGTATCTCGTTCCTACACAGATGTGATATGTTTCATTATTGTTCACTCTATCATTCTTTTCCTCTTTCCCTCCTTCCCTAGTTTCCTTGAACAGTCCCACCATTGGAAACGTGTTCTGTATGCATATGTATATAAGATAATGCTTGTATTTGCATCTGTCTTCCACATATGAGAGGAAACATGTGACCTTTCTTTTTCCAAACCTGGCTTACTTCACATAACATGATGTTCTCCATTCCCATCCATTTACCTGCAAATGACAAAATTTCATTCTTCTTAATGGCTGAATAAAATTCCATGTTAAATGGCCCAAACAGTGTATGCACATATGAATAAGTGAATAAATAAAACATACAAAATTAGAAAAAAAATTCCATGTTTATTTCAGCATTAGTCACAATAGCCAACCTACTGAAACAGTCAAATGTCCTACAACTGATGAATGAATTAAGAAAATGTGATACATGCACACACAATGGGTAAAGATTTTAGAAGCATCGGAGACTGAAATTATAATTGCTGATGAGCTCTAAGGCTCCTTAGAGCTTGTTTCAAAGACAAGTGCTAAAATCAGCAGACTAAAACCATCTAAAAAGAGATAGACTTTCAATTTTGAATTGAGTCAAATAGGACCATAGCTTACTCCTCATTTTTCTTTAAAAAAAATGTGTGACAGTTATTTGAGTTTCTTAATAGCAAAAATCTTAAATCCATGTCCCTTTCTGGATAAACATTACTACCAAGATGTATTGACATATCTCAAATAAAAGTCATTTGACCAATAAGCTCCATATTCAACAGTAAAGATTATTTTAAAGAACAAAGAATAAAAGCAAAGTCAATATTGAAAACAGAAAAATAAAAACACAAGATGCAAATGTTATTTATGAAGTATTATGCTTAACTCTTATTTCTTTCCCTGAATCTCATAGACACACCCTTGTTGGTCCTGACACCATCGAATGCCTGGCCAATGGCAAGTGGAGCGGAAGTAACCAGCAGTGTCTGGCTGTCTCCTGTGATGAGCCCCCCAATGTGGACCACGCCTCTCCAGAGACTGCCCATCGGCTCTTTGGAGATGTTGCTTTCTACTACTGCACAGATGGTTACAGCCTGGCGGACAATTCTCAACTACTCTGCAATGCCCAGGGCAAGTGGGTTCCTCCAGAGGGTGAGGACATACCTCGTTGTATAGCTCATTTCTGTGAAAAACCCCCATCTGTTTCCTACAGCATCTTGGAATCTGTAAGCAAAGCAAAATTTGCAGCTGGCTCTATTGTGAGCTTCAAGTGCATGGAAGGTTTTGTGCTGAACACCTCAGCAAAGATCGAATGTATGAGAGGTGGGCAGTGGAGCCCTTCCCCCATGTCCATACAGTGCATCCCTGTGCGCTGTGGGGAGCCACCCAGCATCATGAATGGCTATGCAACTGGATCAAACTACAGTTTTGGGGCCATGGTGGCTTATAGCTGCCACAAGGGATTCTACATTAAAGGGGAGAAGAAGAGCACTTGTGAAGCCACAGGACAGTGGAGTAGCCCCATACCTACCTGCCACCCTGTGTCTTGCAGTGAGCCACCTAAGATTGAGAACAGCTTTCTGGAGGTAAGAGACAGAACAGCAAATGGTCCATGGTTTTCATCACTTACTGGACCAGTCCATTGTAGCTAACCTACTATTCAGAAGCAGAGGCAGTGAGCAGATTAATTGAAACGCAGAAATGGCTCAGATCTATAGGCAATGAGTATTGAAGAAAACTTAATTACGATGATTATGAATCATTTTAGTATATAGTTTTCTGCATTTTACTGGTATATTTTACTGGCATTCTAAGTGCTCTGTGGTAATATTGGCCCTAAATGAGAAGTTAGAGTAAGCCATTTAAATAACCTAGTATTTTTCTTTATACAAGTTACTCACCTTGTTTTATGAAATCAAGTCTAACTAGGACCTAGAAAAATGTATCATCACATCCTATTTTTCAACAAAACATGGGATAAACCAACTAAGATGCAGTTTTGCATTGCTCTCTTAATAGATCTAAATTTCACCATGGTGGGCACAGAGTTAAGTCTGACCCAGGCACATCTGTTTCCACACTAATAGGTGTCTTCTCAGTGAGTCCATCAAGAAAACTGGAATAAGGATCTCTTCCTTCAAATCAAGGGCCATTTCAAATAGACAAAATCCTAATTGAAACTCTTTTTTAAAGCCCACATGTATGTACTGCCTTTTCTCCTTTATATTAAAAAAAATCAAAACAACAGTAAAAATCTTTTTTATTTAAGATTTTTCCTTGGATGTACTAGCTTTCCATTGGTAGAGGGTGTGGAGCATATGTAAGTAAACTATTTATTTATTGAACAAATATTTCCAGAGTTCCTACCAGGTGCTAGTCATAGTTGAGTCTGGAGATCAGGCGTTGAATAATACAGGTTCAGCCTGTGATGGTCTTGTGTTTACACATACATAGAGAACTCAAGCAAGGTAAAACAGAAGAAATTATTATTTCCAAATACTGCTATATAGAGTTCACTATAGCCCTGAAACTAGAATTTACCATTAACACTACAAAGAACCATAATAATCTTTAAAATTTATAACAGTCAGTTTATCTGCTTAAAATGACCAGTTACTATATTATATACTTACTTTAATTTGGAAATTATAAATATTAATTTTTTAGTTTAAAAGGTGGAAGACTGATATTTATTTTCCATTTTATGCCACATCAGTAATATTTTGAAAGTATGCTATGAAGAAAGCAAAACTCTTGTAATATTCTCAGGACATATGCATAAAAATATTTTATTTGCATTTTTTATGATCTAGCAACATTAACAAGTACATGTACATTTGTGTATCTGTTTCCTTGTGTGTGGTTAAAACAACACTGTAGCTTTCTTTGGTCAATAAAAGTTTTTGAATTTACCAACTTATCTATAATTTTTGGTATTGCCCCTTCAATTCATCAATTAATATAGAGACTACTGATTTCTTTATTATAGGCTCATTTCTGAAGTAGGGATTACTTAATTTGATCTACATTTCACATCTGCATTTCTACCTATTTTTAAAAACTAGAGTGAGCCTATTGGCTGAAGCCCTGATTCCTTTTAAAGTAGGCCTAGTTTTGTTCTTTTTTTACTATTAAAATATTGTCAATTAGATTATTTGTAATATCAAATGTCTACACTTATTTTCTCTCTCTTATTCAGCACACAACTGGCAGGATCTTTGAGAGTGAAGTGCGATACCAGTGTAACCCAGGCTATAAATCAGTTGGAAGTCCTGTGTTTGTCTGCCAAGCCAATCGCCACTGGCACAGTGAATCCCCTCTGTCATGCATCCCTCTCAACTGTGGAAAACCTCCCCCAATCCAGAATGGCTTTATGAAAGGAGAAAGCTTTGAAATGGGCTCCAAGGTTCAGTTTTTCTGTAATGAGGGTTATGAGCTTGTTGGTGACAGTTCCTGGACATGCCAGAAATCTGGAAAATGGAGTAAGAAGCCAAGCCCAAAGTGTGTGCCCACCAAGTGCCCAGAGCCACCACTCTTGGAAAACCAGCTTGTCTTAAAGGAGCTAACTTCTGAAGTTGGCATAGTGACATTTTCTTGTAAAGAAGGGCATGTCCTACAAGGCCCTTCTGTCCTGAAATGCTTGCCATCCCAGCAATGGAACGATTCTTTTCCTGTTTGTAAGATGGTTCTTTGCCTTCCACCTCCCCTGATTTCCTTCGGTGTACCTGCTTCTTCTTCCACTCTTCATTTTGGAAGTACCATCACGTATTCTTGTGTCGATGGTTTCTTCCTAAGAGGAGATCCTACCACCCTCTGCCAAGCTGATGGTACCTGGAGCTCTCCACTGCCAGAATGTGTTCCAGTAGAATGTCCCCAACCAGAGGAAATCCTCAATGGCATCATCGATGTGCAAGGCCTTGCCTATCTCAGCACAGCTCTCTATACCTGCAAGCCAGGCTTTGAGTTAGTGGGAAATACTACAACTCTTTGTGGAGAAAATGGCAACTGGATTGGAGGAAAGCCAACATGTAAACCCATTGAGTGCGCAAAGCCCAAGGAGATTTTGAATGGCAAATTCTCTTACACCAGCCTTCACTATGGACAGACCATCACATATTCTTGCAACCGTGGCTTCCGGCTTGAAGGTCCCAAAGCTTTGACCTGTTTAGAATCAGGAAATTGGGATACAGATGCCCCATCCTGCAAGGCCATCCACTGTAATGCCCCACAGCCCATTGAAAATGGTTTTGTGGAAGGTGCAGATTACAACTATGGGGCCATGATCATCTACAGCTGCTTCCCTGGGTTTCAGGTGTCCGGTCATGCCATGCAGACCTGTGAAGAATCAGGATGGTCAAGCTCTATCCCAACATGTGTACCCATAGACTGTGGTCTCCCTCCTCACATAGATTTTGGAGACTGTAGTAAAGTCAAAGATGACCAGGGATATTTTGATCAAGAAGACGACATGATGGAAGTTCCATATCTGACTCCTCACCCTCATCCTTTGCGAACAGTGGCAAAAACCGTGGAAAATACAAAGGAGTCTCCTGCTATACATTCATCACATTTTCTGTATGGCACTAAGGTTTCCTACACCTGTAACCCAGGATATAAACTTTTGGGGAACCCCGTGCTAATGTGCCAGGAAGATGGAACTTGGAATGGCAGTGCACCTTCCTGCATTTCAATTGAATGTGACTTGCCAGTTGCTCCTGAAAATGGCTTTTTGCATTTTACACAGACTACCATAACCAGTGCTGTGCAGTATAGCTGCAAACCAGGGCATATTTTAGTTGGCTCTGAGATGAGACTTTGTCTACAGAATGGGAAGTGGAGTGGTACTTCCCCACTTTGTGAAGCCATTTCATGCAAAAAACCAAATCCGCTCATGAATGGATCCATCAAAGGAAACAACTACACATACCTGAGTGTGCTCAACTATGAATGTGATCTTGGATATGTGCTGATTGGCACTGAGAAGAGAACATGCCAGAAGATAAAAATTGGAATGGGCAGGAGCCAATGTGCATTGCTGTAGATTGTGGTTCACCCCCAGTCTTAGTCAACGGCCAAGTGAAAGGAGAACAGTATACATTCCAAAAAGAGATTGAGTATACTTGCAATGAAGGATTCTTGCTTGAGGGAGTCAGGAGTCGTGTTTGTCTTGCTGATGGGAGTTGGAGTGGAGACACTCCTGACTGCATACCTGTCAGATGTGCCACCCTACCACAGGTGGCAAATGGTGTGATGGATGGCCTGGACTATGGCTTCAAGAAAGAGGTGGTGTTCCGCTGTCAGGAGGGCTATGTGTTGCATGGTGCTCAGAAACTCACTTGTCAATCAGATGGTACCTGGGATGCAAAGGTTCCTTTCTGTAAACCAGTCAACTGTGGACCTCCTGAAGATCTTCCCCATGGCTTCCGCAATGGGTTTTCCTTTTATCATGGGGGCCATATACAGTACCAGTGCTTTCCTGGTTATAAACTCCATGGAAGTCCCTCTAGAAGGTGTCTCTCCAATGGCTCCTGGAGTGGCATCCCACCTTCATGCCTACCTTGCAGATGTCCCACTCCAGTCATTCAATATGGAACTCTCAATGGGACTGATTTTGGTTGTGGAAAGGCAACCCAGATTCAATGCTTCAAAGGTTTCAAGCTCCTGGGTCTTTCTGAAATCACCTGTGAAGCCAATGGTGAGTGGAGCTCTGGCTTCCCACACTGTGAACACACTTCTTGTGGTTCTCTTCCAAACATACCAAATGCATTCATCAGGGAGAGCAGCTCTTCAGAGGAAAATGTGGTAACTTACAGCTGCAGGTTGGGCTATGTCATGCAAGGCAGTTCAGATCTGATTTGTACAGAGAAAGGAACATGGAGCCAGCCTTATCCAATCTGTGAGCCACTGTCCTGTGGACCCCCACCATCCGTTGCCAATGCAGAGGCAACTGGAGAGGCATACACTTATGAAAGCAAAGTGAAACTCAGGTAAGACCATGGCTCTGGAGGGTTTGAAGTGAAAAATGATAGGTCAAAATATAGCTAATTGGGGGGAAAAAAACCTACCATCTCTGAATTTCTTTCCAAAAACTAAAGCTTTTAACACATGACTTGATTCTACGTAAAAATCCACTGATTGTAAAAATAAATTTAAACCTTTTTTCAGACTGTGGTTCCTAATATAATTATCATGACTCACACAAAACAGCAATGTCCTCTGACTAGTTTGAATAGTTCTTGAATCATAAAGCTCTTTTTTAAAACATCATGATGATAGTTATATTTATACATACATACTCTGGTTTCTCTTCAGATCATATAAATCTTTTGCCTTTTTTATACATATAAATGTTAGGGAAAATAAGGCAAAAAGCAAGACTTTGTGCTGACAAGTCTTGGATGGGGAGATAGCTTAAAGGGGCTTCCAATTTGTGCTACAAACCAGCATTTCATGCTGAAATAATGTTTTTTTCTGGATATTTATCTAAAATGTATTTTTAAATGAAAGATGAAATATTTGGAATGAATTTGTGAATTAAATTTTTATTGGCGTTAATAACCATAATGTTCAAAGATATCTCAACCCTCCAAACTATTTAAATTTCATTTACATCTCTGAATGAATTGTGGATTGTCTTTCATATATTAGCATGTTTGATTTGACTAATAATTCAACAACTCTCCTTAGACAATCTGTTGTGAACACATTAGCCCCACCTTTACTTCCAACTGCCATAAAAAGCAGATCTTTACTTTGTATCAGATCACCAGACTGCTCCAAGTTCCTCAAACCTATGACCTATAACTCCTATCTACCCTGATAATTTGTGGAATTTAAAAAGTGTTATTCAGTGATAAACAATAATTAAGTGGTTTAATTAAAAAGGTGGCATAGAATGGTGGTAAAAGCACATATTCCAAAGCCAGAGTTCCTGTAGAGTCCCCAGTTTTATCACTGTACCACACTGCCTTTTAATAGTAGAGGGAACTCAGCAATATTGTTCCCCAGCTGTGTGACTTTGAAGAAGCTACTTAATCTCTCTAGTGTCAACCTCATCACTGCAAAATGAGGGTGACAGTAATAATCGCATCTGCTAATAAGGTTGACGTGATGATTGAATGAGTAGATAGTTGTAGAGCACATAAAATAGTAACCAGAAATTAACGGTTATGTAAACATTTGCTAAATACATATGCACATATTTTAAATAATGTAGGGTTTTAGATTCAGCTGAACTTGAGTTTGAGCACCAATACTACTAGAGTGAAGTAACAACACCTAATGATCAAGATTAAAAGAAGTGCTTTATGTGAAGACCTAAAACAGTGTTTGTTACATAGGAGATACACCACAAATATAAATTATGTTACATTCCTACTACTAGCTGAGTCTATTTGGGACTTTGAGTAGAATTTCTTGAACTATTTAGCTGTTTTTAAAATGAAAATGAATTCAATAATTATATTCACAATGAAAGTAAATAACATCAACCACATTATAGATACTTTGCTCTTGGCTAATCTTGACTGTGAATAACTAAAGGATTGAGCTGGACATCGTTGTTATAGTAATATTTTTGCAAGGCAATGCCATTCACCTGATAGTTGAACCAGTTTTGATATATCACATAAAATGTCTACTGAACACCTTCTTACTTTAAGAATAGATAGGAACTGTATTTTACTTTCTTTAAGGCATTCATTTTCACATTCCCATTGTAGGTGTCTGGAAGGTTATATCATGGATACAGATTTAGATACATTCATCTGTCAGAAAGATGGTCACTGGTACCCTGAGAGAATCTCCTGCAGTCCTAAAAAATGTCCTCTGCCATCAAACATAACACATATACTTGTTCATGGCGAAGATTTCAGTGTGAATAAGCAAGTTTCTGTGTCATGTGCAGAAGGGTATACCTATGAGGGAGTCAACATATCAATGTGTCAGGTAAGATTTTATTTTAGTCTAACTCCTACATACACATATGCCACAAAGGCAAATGTGGATCTTGCTGAAAAGAAAAAAAATGCTTCAAGTTTTCATTCACATTAAAGGATTTGAGAAATTTAGTTCAGATAGAATACATCTTTCCTTCTAGTATGTCAATTTTCAAACTAAGAAAGTGCCAATGTTGGATAAAATGTTAAAATATCTATAACAAAATATTCACAGCAAATTAATCATGCAACTTATGTTCAAAAGAGTATCTCTGTGCAGAAATCCATCACAGACTGTGCCAACTTGGTTTCTAGTTTCAGTGAAAAGGCCAAAGTTTGCAGGAGCAGACAGAAAATTGGAGTCAAATCCTGTCTCTACTACTTGCTACTTGTAAGAGTTACTTTTAAAAAGTTACTTGAGTTGGGAATAGTGATACTCACCTATAATCCCAGCATTCAGGAGGCTGATGAACCAAGAGGATCATGAATCTGAGGCCAGTCTGGGCTACATGGTGAGACCTCGTCTCAAAAATAAAATTAAAATAATACTTTAAATAAATTCTGTGACCTTATATTCCTTCAGCTAGTTTGCTCTATTTGCAAATATGAAATGATTAAATTATTTAATATATATAAAGTGTCTAGAACATGCCTGACATATAAGAGGAACTCAAGAATTATTTTACTCACTTCCTAATTTTCCATTTATAAGTCCTGTGGTCATGTGTTCTCAAGGATTGGTTATTGCCAGACTTAAAGGCAGAAACATCCTAAAGAGCAGGTGAAATGACAGCCAAGATTATCATACTCTCAAAATTTGTATCATCCAGAAGGTCTCTTTTAGATTTAGAGCTGAAGAAGTTTGAGGGGAAAATATTTTACGAGACCTTGAGCTCAACCAGAGTCCTACCACAATTAAACTGATGTTCTCCAATTGGGTGTGTGGACAACAGGGGGATCCCTGTGTGCTCTCCAGGACCCCGTGACACTGGTGTCTAAGCTCTTAATTCCTTATGACAACCCTCATGACTTCCTCAACACAAGTATGACCCCTATCCTCGGCCCAACTGAGTCCTGGTTTAATTTTTTGGTTTGATAGGTAGAACAAACCCTTTCTAATTATTCAAATGCATAAGTTACATAAAACTATATTTGGTGCCTAGAAATATTTATTATGCTGTAATGAAATGACTCTATAATGCATACAACAAATAAAATAAAGAGATCAATATAATTTTTGAAAAATGAATACTGAAAGACCTGCTTAAAATTAATAAAGGTTATGGAATTACAAAACTCCCACCAGTGTGGTATTTGTGTAACTTTATGTAGAGTGAAAAATGAACAAAATAGAAAAAATGAGTCAGCAGACTCCAGCTGGTGTTCTCCAGTTCACCTCAACTCTAACCTGGAGGTTGCATCAGGTCCCACAGGTTGAGGGCTCAGTACCCAATACTGCTCCTCTTCAGACACTAAACTTTCGACCTACTGGCTACAAATTGGGGCTCCCATGACCCCCTCCCTTGGTTCCATTAACTTGCCAGATTGACTCACAGTTTCGGGGAAACAGTTACTTACATCATCAGTTTATTTTAAAGGGTGTTTTATATGATACAAATAACACAGCCAGATGAAGAGAAACACAGGGCAAAGTCTGGAAGGTAGGAGCTTCTAGTTAGTCCTTACAAGGTTATGATACACTGCTTCCCAACATGTGAGTAAGTCTTGTTCACCTTCCTGCAAGCCTCTGTGTCCAGCTTTCCAGAAGTTCTCTGAACCCTGTCCTTTTGGGATTTTTGGAGATTCCATTGCACAGGCATGAATGAAACATGGACACTGTGAACAGATGCAGTTGGATCAATGGGTATATGATCTATTGCTTAGACTAAGTGTGGAAACCCAGCACGGCCTACTGTTCAGATTCTTCTTGGCCTCTGTGCCGCATTCCTTCCTCTCAAATGGGGGGCAGGATCACTAATGAAGTGGGGGCATTATGAGCTGATGCCAGACAAGATAGGTCACAGAATGTCTTTATGGACAGCTTCATGACAGAAAGGCAGACAGAGATTTGAGTTTCTGTGATGTGCTTTGGGAAGAGAAACTCAATTACATGAGAAAGTGGGGGGCCTACCACTTTCCTTCCTTGCAACAAGGAAGTCCCTCTATCACTGTGGCAAGGCAAGGATTTAGATATACAAAGCCAAGAAAGAGACACACTCAACACTTCCCAATCAAATAACAGTCTTTAAGAAAAACAGCTAGCTCTTCTGGGGGTGGTGTTTAGAGGCTTTCACAGTTGTCCAGAATTTGACATACAATACAATACAAAACTAGGCTATCCTGAATCCCTGGCAATAGAACTGTTTACCTTTGTGCCAGGAAGGTTGGGAAAGCACCAAAATCTGCATGTGGTGTGTGCCCAGGCCAATGCTGTGGGACCTAAAGTCCTTATGAGATTGTCTAAACGAAAACCATGTTAGTAGGAAATATGGTTGTTCCATGGGTCCTAATGTGTCTGTGCAAGGATCAAACCTGCTTTCCTTATTGATGAGCAGAAAATTGTAGGGAAAGTGCTGAAGGCACAAGCACAGAGTCATTAAGTTAAAAGAATATGAAGCTTTTTCCTTCTCCCCCTTTGGTTACCTAGCACGAATGAAGTCCTATTAAATCTCCAGCATGGCAAGGAGAAAAAAGACTGTTTTGAAAATGCAAAAGGCTTGAGTAATAAAATGCCAAAGACAAAAAAAAAAACCAAAAAGAAAAGAAAAATATCTCTGTGTACCTCACTTTACCCAACTAGAAGCCGAAAAAGTTACCAATATGGTGGTAAAGAGAAAGATATTTAAAGAAAAAAGTGAATGACAGAATCTTGAGTTAGTCACATTGGGATGGAGACACAGGAAGCCATCTTTTTAACTTTAAGTAGTATGTCTAAAAGTTGCTGTTTCTCATGAACTGTATATGAAAATGTGGAATCAGATGAAATACAAGGGTACATTGATGTAAGTCATGGAATGTTGATATCAGCCATCCAGTCCTCATGATTTTAATGAAAACATACTGCTTGGTGATCTTGATTTTTGAGTGAATTCTATTAGGAAGCAAATGCTTATTTTATGTGTTTAAGAGATGTCAATGAATGTTTAGTGACAACCATGAATTTCATCTAATGATTAATGTGTGTTCTTTAGAGCTACCGATAATAAACCACTCAATGACGGCCAAACTCTAGATCCTTTGACTCTCATTTTGGGGATTATTCTGCCATTCACCATATTAGTAAACTTTTTCTCTTTATTAATTCCTAAATATAAGTTACAGTTTGTTGTTTGTTATTCAGCTCGATGGTACCTGGGAGCCACCATTCTCTGATGAATCCTGCAGTCCAGTTTCTTGTGGACAGCCTGAAAGCCCAGAGCATGGATTTGTTGTTGGCAGTGAATACAGCTTTGAAAGTGTAATTATTTATCAGTGTGAACCTGGCTATGAATTAGAGGTATGCAAACAAATTGCTTAACTAAATTAATTTGGTTTTTTTATGTACTTGGAAATATTTTGAATATTAGCACTAATTTATTTCACCCATTTTGGTCTAAAAATATCATACTATATTTTGTTGCCCTATACTCTAACACTTTCCAAGAAATAAGTGACTTAGAATTTTAAGAAGCAAAACGTCTCAAATTAAAAAAAAAAAAAAGGAAGGCTATGTAAAGGAAAAGGAAGTAAGTTTTCTGACCACAAACACATATTGTTGACCATCTAAACACATCTTGGTTCACTGGTAATGACACTTTATAACAAGGCAGTCCACCTATTACTACGGTGAGGCCACAACTAGGATTGAGGTACACAAAGCCAAGATTTCCTCATATACATTGGTAAGTTCTTGATTGAGATGTCAGATTTTCTTATGACAACTGTGGCTTGACAAAATCCTCAGAAAAGTTCTAACCAAACACCAGCTTTGTCCTTAAAACCACTCGGTTGTAATATAAAAACCCCTTCAACAGTGCCTAGGTGCCCCTCTTTACTTTAGTGGGAAGGGAATAAAACCATTATCTTGGCATCAGTCTTGACATTTAAGTAACCTGTTTTATGTTACATAAGACTGTAATCTGGTTTTTCAGGAAATTCTTCTTTCCTGTCTTTATTTTTACAGTGGGATTAAATATAGGTTTTGCAGAAGTATTAATTGCCAGTCATCTGTTAAATTTGTGTAGTATGACCCATTATTTTCTCACCATGCAATCAAAGATTTGTCCTAAGATAGATTCATGAAAGCCAGAACTAAAGGCTGGTGGAGTAGCTCAAGTGGTAAGAGCACCTACCTAGCAAAGCATGAGGCCCTGAGTTCAAATTCCAGTGTCGCCAAAAATAAAGAAAGGCAGAACTAGGTTTTTATGGATCATTTCCTCAAAAAGTTAAAAAATAAATGTAAAAAGAATAACAAGATAATGATTGATTGCAATTGGAGAATTTTCCAGTTTTGAAGTCTATATTCTTTGTGGAGAGTACTATTCTTGTTATTTAAAGAAAAGTAATACAGATTTTATACAGCAAACTCATTACATTTAAAGAAAAAGATCATTTATTTTCAAAATTAGGGAGAATATCCTGGCGTTAACTACAAAATTAAGAGAGGTAATATAACAATTGTTCTCACTCCAAGCTACATGTTAGGATCACCTGAGAAACTTTTTTAAACTACTGATGCCTAGCTACTTGGAAGAATAACTAATGTAGATCTGGGGTAAGAAATGTCAGATGGTGACCCAAGCAGTAGAGCACCTGCCTACCAAGTGCAAAACCCTGAGTTCAAACCCCAGTACCACCAAAAAAGGGGGGGTGGGGCACATTGCTTGCCAGATACAGTGGCTCATGTTTGTAATCCTAGCTACTTGGGAGGCTAAGATCTGGAGGATCTTGTTTCAAGGCCAGCCTGGGCAAAAAGTTCACAAAACTCCATCTCAACATAAAAAACTGGGCACTGTGGCACAATTCTGTCTTCCAGCTACAGCAGAAAGCTATAAATAGGAGGATGGCAGTCCAGGTCCTGGCTAACCTGGCAAAAAAGGGAGACCTTATCACAAAAATAATCAGAGCAGCCAGGCACTGGTGGCTCATGCCTGTAATCCTAGCTATTCAGGAGGCAGAGATCAGGAGGATTGCCACTGAAAGCCAGCTCAGGCAATAGCCACAAGACCTTATCTCAAAAATACTCAACACAAAAAGGGCTGGTGGAGTGGCTCAAGTTGTAGAGTGCCTACCTAGCAAAATATGATGCCCTGAGTTCAAATCCTAGTACCAAATAATAATAATAACCAGAGCAAAGAGCTTTGTAGCTTCTTAACATCTCAAAGAAGAAAGCAGATGCAGAAAGCCCCTGCATGTCTCCCTATTCTTGTAATTTAACATCTAAAAGGAAGTGGTGGGAGGAGAGCTTGCTGCTCTCATTTTTCAGTTTATATCCTGACTCTAGTTTCTGAGTGTGGCCCTTTTAATATTTCTTATTTTTAATCCCTGTCGTCTCATCTATCTATCCTGCCTCAACCAGAAAACTGATTTTAAAGGAGAAGGTTGTCTTTTCAATGCTGAGTGGATGACCAAATAACCAAATAGTAAAGAAGAGGAAGTTCACTTTATAAAAGTATTCCTTGGGCTGGAGGCATGGCTTAAGTGGTAGAGAGACCACTTAGCAAGCACAAGGTCCTGAATTCAAACTCCAGTACCGCCAACAAAACAAAACATGTTCCAGTTAAAAGTGAAAGAACTTAAATACCAGAATTTGCAACCCCTATGAGTGGGATTTAGGTTTTGATCATCCATGGCAGCTGATGTCACAAAAAATAGAGACAACTAGATATTACAAAACTCTGGGTGAAAAAACACACTCCATTTATGAAAATGACTGCCAAAAAAGTTGAATTTGAATTTTATCAAGTTTCTAAGTCCAAGAAACAGTATCAGAGACATTGACCAGCAAAATTCTGCCTGTGAGAATGTCTGCAGAACAAATGATCCAGGCTCCTAGTATCTGAAACAAACAGGTTGACAGAAGAGAAGGAAGGAAATGGAGAAGGAACCTGCAGATTGACAAAGACAGTGAAACATGCATTTTTTAAATGTATTATTCAGTCTTTCTTACTGCAATCACTCTGCTATGCAAGGCTTTGCATTTTTAACTAGCACCCCAGATGCCACAGGTCAACTGGTGGCAAAGTGGTTCTCAGTCGGGTCTTAGCCCTGGTGGGCCCGTGTTGCAAACTCTCTGCTGTGCTGGATGGAGTGCACTGGGGAGCTGAACCACCCTCTGGGCCTCTGACTCCCTGTATTTACACATGTAATACAGTAGCCATCTTTGCTAAGTGACTGTAATGGCTGGGCTGGCATTACACTGCCAGTGAGCAGTGCCCTTTGTACGTTGTTTGAGTTCAGTATTGGGTAGTTATTGTCATCACTTCTAGTATTTGTATTATTACGAAAACCAAACAAAGCAATTAAGACAGCTGATAGAAATTATATTTTCTTCTACTATGTAAATAAGCGGCTACTGATGTCTGAGTGAACAACTTTTTTAAGCTGTCTAAATAGCCCGGCCGGTGGCTTATGCCTCTAATCCTAACTACCTGGGAGACAGAGAGCAGTAGGATGACTGTCCACAACCAGTATGGAACAAAAGTTAGCAAGACCCCTCATCTCAACATGTTGGGTGGTGGTACCTGTCTATGATCCCAGATAGGTAGGAGGCATAGATAGGAGAATTGTGGTCTAAGAATGGCCCAGGCAAAAACTCAAGACACTGTCTGAAAAAAAAAAAAAAAAAAACTGAAGCAAAAATGGGCTATAGGAGTTGCTTCAGTGGTAAAGCACCTGCCTAGTAAGTGAGAGACCCTCAGTTCAAACCCTAGTACTGCCAACAAATAAATAAATAAATCTCAACAATTTTGCTCTATGTCTATAGTTCTAGGAATAAAACACTAAAGCCAACTGAATGGTAAAGAACTCAAAAATGGGATAATCGTGTTATAAAACCACTACTAATGAACAATAAAGTGGCCGTTCTGAATCTAAAGCTTGATACAGATATCTATGCTAATTGTTAAAAAAGCAGATATGATCAGGTTAAAAAAAAAATCAATGCTATGCTGGATCTAAAACACCAGCTTAATTAGTAAAAATCAAAGTAAGTAGAAGGGTGGAAAGAAAAAGAAAAAAGGAAATGCATTTTGAAACCTGCTAAAGGGGAGAGCCAACAGATGGTGTTTGATTTTTTTTTCAATAGTTTCTGATAATTTATTTAAGTTTTTATTACAATAAAAATTGACATAGTCAGAACAGAATGTTTGTTGTTGGGATCACCAGAGGAACAGAAGAAAGAAAAACAGCACTAGTAAAACGTTAAATTGTTGACTAAAATTAAACACTTGAGTTCGGTCTACTCTGATGGTGCCCACCTCATTGGTTAGTTAGTTGGTTAGTTAGTTAGGTATTATCTACTTCTCTAAACTAATAAAAAGCAATTCACAACTTAAAAAAGCATATTATTCTGCACACAGAAAAAGTAGAAATGTTAATATTTACTTCTGGATGAAGAATCTTAAAGTTTTTGTTTTTCTTTATTTTTCTAATCTTTCTACATGAGCAAATCTTACTGTTTCATTAACAAGAGAATAATACATGTTTTTAAAAAAAACATTTAATGTTTGAAAAAGAGGAAGGAGGAAATGAGGTTATGAGGGACTAAAATAGCGGGGTTGAACTTGTTCAAAGTGCACTGTACACACTCACAGAATTATCACAATGAAACACCTTTGCATTATTAATGAATGATAATTTTAAAAGTTTAAATTTATAGAAGCAATTATTTTCTTGGAAAGTTAAGACAGAACCCTCCCACCAAACTCAATGGAAACTTTAGAGGTGAAGATTTCTCAATAATTAAATTGATAGCTCTAAGAAAAATATCTCTGAAGAGGAAAATAAGAAAGACATCAGGCAGCCAGGCATGGTGCACACCAAGAGGTCGAGGTCAGCCTGGGCTGCATGGTGAGACCCTGATGAGAGAGACTAAAATCCAATGTAAAGCTCCTTTTCAGATATCTTGATAATTTGCTCATGTTTTCAAAACAATACAATATCCAAAGGTTATAACTAATGAAAAAAATACCACAAAACCCACATTCAGGAGTTTATATCCTTGACTCTTTAAGACTTTACTTAGAACCTAGTCTTTTTTAATATATAATATTACAAACTCTTATTTATTATTCCATAGTAGATTAGGAATTTAATGTATGGAAAAGAGTTATCATTAGAACATAGATGATTACAGTAAGAGATAACAGAAAGGGAAGAAGCAAAGAGCCATAAAAATTATACCTAGGAATCAAAGAATAGTAACCTTAGCCTAATAACCACTGGGTGCAAACAACCTATATGCCCTTTAAGGAGGATATGGGATATTGAAAAATACATTCAGAAAATAATTATAAATCATTTTTTAAGAAAATTATATTTCAAAAGGAAAGAAAGTAACTTTTAGAAAAACCCAAAATATTTATATGTTTAAATGCCTGGTTCCATAGTAGGGTAAAGTCGGGTAAGTGTATGTTTAATAGATAAGTTACCTTGTTAAAATACTCAGTCCCCATACCAATATGGCATCTTGTGTTTACTGTCTCTCTCAGATATTGAAAGTAAATACAATTCAAAGTATTTTTTAACTATACTAAGATAATACACACTTTTGGTATTTTCTAACCCATTCTTTATCAGTCTTTGCTACAGATTATAATTAGTTGTCATTTAAAATAGAAGGCAAAGCAAAGTCTGTACCTTATTCACAGTACTCTGGCAGGGAAGAATTTCTTTTTAAGTATTTGATGAAGACATCAAGAGTCTAAACCTACTCCTTATGCTACATTTATTTAATATATTTATTTGGCATTTCAATGCTGAGTCATTCAAGTCCATAGCTAAGATTACTTTCATTCCTTCACTACCTTTCTATTACAATTTTGTACATGACCTTTCTCCTTTGATTTACAGGGAAACAGGGAACAAGTCTGCCAGGAGAACGGACAGTGGAGTGGAGAGGTAGCAACATGTAAAAGTAAGTTAATACCACTAAATGATCCCCAAAATGATGCTCAGAACACAAAATAACAGTTTTATAATTTAAGAAAATCTCAAAATGACTCCATGTACTGTAAGGGAATGTTTAATAGGATTTTGTTCAAGGCACCAAACCAATAAAGCATCAAAAACTGTAGTAGAGATTAATGACTATTTGGAAAAGAGTACAAGATTACTGGCTCTGAAATAGCAAACATTTTGTTTGATACTGGTTATTGTGTTTATTTGCATTTTTGTGGGTTTCCCCCTCCTCCTCTTCTGAAATAGACATGCGTTAGAAGGCTCAGAGCTGTTGTTTCTTGGTGATGGTACTGACCAATCCTGACATCTTTTTAAAGCGCTGTTGGGATATCTGTCAAATAAGTGAATATCCTACATGAAAAGTTGCATTAACTCATTTTATGAGAACAGCCATGTTTATTTGGCATGTAGGTTAATCTACATAACTTTATTCCAATCTATGCCCCCTATGATTCCTCTACCCAAAGACAATACATTCAGAGACAATAGTTTCAAACCAATCCAAGTGGAAGCATTTTCATTTTTACCTCTCAATAATCCTGGTGCAATTATCAAATTCTCAAATTGGTAGGGCCTCTTAGATGGACTGTTGCCATCCTTTTGATTAACAAATAAGTAAATAAATGGATGTTAGGAGAGGCGAGGTGGCCTGTCCAGTGTCAGAAAACAAGTTAGTGGCTAAGTTGGCACTACAGCTGACTATGGTCAGTCATATTTTCAGAAGCAGATGTAAGAGATAATTTTGTGTATACAGGAATCTATAGTCTTTTAAGGAATATTAGATGGTTGCAAGTCAGTGGAGAATAATGACTTTTTATTTCTCAAAACCTTGGGTAAATATTATATAGAAAAATATTTTTTAAATATTGAGTAACATCTCAAGTCACAAAAATGCAGCACTTATTTAGGACTTTGGGCATTCCTGAATTAACATTTTTATCTAAACTGCTCATGATCACAAAGTGTATGTATGTATACTTTGTGTAGAGGGGAGGGGAACGAGGAATGAGAAGGGTCATACATATCTGACACAGGGAGCCTTCATGGTGCTGGTGAGATTGTTTCAGTTTCAGCAACTTTAGTTTAAACTACAAAGACAATCATTTGCATAGCTTTCATTTCAGAAATGCAAGACAGCAATAGAAAACTGTGGGTACAACTTATTTCCTGTACCTTTTTTCTTTTTTCTTTTTGAATTATTAGAGTCATATAAGTTAATTTCAGGAAATTAGGTAACACAAAAAAGGCAAAAATAAAGTTAATTTAATCCCACCACTCAGGAGTAAACACTATTCCTATTCTGGCATATATTTTATTTTATACTCTTTTCTTCGGCCTATGCAATTCTAAGTGTGGCTCACAAACCAACAGCATCAATGATATCTGGGATCTTGTTCAAACTTCAGACTCTCAGGTCTCACTCCAGTGGAATCAAAATTTGCATTTTAGCCAATTCCCTGGATGACTACCATACTATTATGGTTTGCAAAATACTGCCTCAGGCCTCTTGGTTGTTAGCCTTTAGCATATCTGACTGTCCTGGAGAGCTTTGGAAATTCCCAGTGCAAGTCTATACCTTGTATCAGTTAAATCACAATCTCTAGGGGCAGAACCCAGAATCCATACCTTTGTAAAGCTGTCAAGGATTCCAAAATACAGCCAAGGTTACAATCCATGGTTCCAGTGCACACAAGACTCACCAGACTATAAAGAAGCCCACAGATATCAGTTAGCATCTAATCCACCTGTTCCCCAGACCACCCCTACTCCCCCCAGCATTAACAATATAAAGACAGCTGAGCCAAGATGCCCCACTACCAATGCATGGATTAAGAATGTGGTATTTATACACAGTGGAATTTTACTCAGCCACAAAGAAGAATGAAATTTTGTCATTCACAAGTAAATGGATGGAACTGGAGAATATCATCTTAAGCAAAGTTAGCCAGGCTCAGAAGGCCAAAAATCTTATGTTCTCCCTCATATGTAGACTTTAGACCTAAAATAAATGCAATAATATTATTGGACATGAGTCACACACTTAAGGGAGAACATGCATGGAAGGAATAGGGAAAGGAAAGGAAACCTAAAACTTTTTTTTTTATTCATATGTGCATACAAGGCTTGGGTCATTTCTCCCCCCTGCCCCCACCCCCTCCCTTACCACCCACTCCGCCCCCTCCCTCTCCCCCCCACTCCCTCAATACCCAGCAGAAACTATTTTGCCCTTATTTCTAATTTTCTTGTAGAGAGAGTATAAGCAATAATAGGAAGGAACAAGGGTTTTTGCTGGTTGAGATAAGGATTGCTATACAGGGAGTTGACTGACATTGATTTCCTGTGCCTGTGTGTTACCTTCTAGGTTAATTCTTTTTGATCTAACCTTTTCTCTAGTTCCTGGTCCCCTTTTCCTATTGGCCTCAGTTGCTTTTAACGTATCTGCTTTAGTTTCTCTGCGTTAAGGGCAACAAATGCTAGCTAATTTTTTAGGTGTCTTACCTATCCTCACCCCTCCCTTGTGTGCTCTCGCTTTTATCATGTGCTCAAAGTCCAATCCCATTGTTGTGTTTGCCCTTTATCTAATGTCCACATCTGAGGGAGAACATACGATTTTTGGTCTTTTGGGCCAGGCTAACCTCACTCAGAATGATGTTCTCCAATTCCATCCATTTACCAGTGAATGATAACATTTCGTTCTTCTTCATGGCTGCATAAAATTCCATTGTGTATAGATACCACATTTTCTTAATCCATTCGTCAGTGGTGGGGCATCTTGGCTGTTTCCATAATTTGGCTATTGTGAATAGTGCTGCAATAAACATGGGTGTGTAGGTGCCTCTGGAGTAACCTGTGTCACAGTCTTTTGGGTATATCCCCAAGAGTGGTATTGCTGGATCAAATGGTAGATCAACATCTAGCTTTTTAAGTAGCCTCCAAATTTTTTTCCAGAGTGGTTGTACTAGTTTACATTCCCACCAACAGTATAAGAGGGTTCCTTTTCCCCCGCATCTTCGCCAACACCTGGAAAACCTAAAACTTGAATGTGGTTGATGTGCTTACTGTTTAGGAGTGTATAAAGTAATCTTAAACTGGCAGAGGCCACTGTGGGAAGGGAACCAGGAAGTAGTGAAGAGGTCTGGTAGAGATGAATCAACATAGGTTGCAATACACAAGTGCATGGAAGCAACGCTAGGAGTCTCTCTGTATAGCTGTCTTACTATCTCTTATGTTTTCTCTTCAACAAAATCGGAGAACAAGAGGGCAAAACAGGTTCTGCCTGGAAGCTGGGTGGGATGAAAGGGGAGGTGGTCCAAATAAAGTATACACATGTGAGTAAATATAAAAACAATAAAATAATATATATATATATATAAAGACAGCTGAAATAAATAGAACAAAATAACAATTGTTAAAGACAAACATGTATTAATCTAATACTTTCATATTCAGTAATTTTCCTCCATCAGTGAGTAGCACTGTGTCTCACACATGAGTATGAATATTTTATGTATAGTGCAATGTTTCACATATATATGTATATGTGTATATGTATATGATAGATATGATAAGTGCCCTTAGCAACTTCAGCAAAGGAAGCAGGGAGGATTTGGCAAGCATTTAGTATTAGACTTTTATTCTTCCTTTTAGAAAGCAGATGCGAAGCTCCAGCTGAGTTTCCGAATGGGAAGGCTGTCATGGAAAACACCACAGCAGGACCCCATGTGATCTACTCCTGCCACAGAGGCTACAGCCTGGAAGGGCCTCCAGAGGCACACTGCGCTGAAAATGGAACTTGGAGCCAGCCAGTCCCTCTTTGCAAACGTGTGTGTTGACTTTAGTTAATCAGATCCAGTTTCATAACTAGCTTCCCATATATCTCAAGCACAGAGGAAGCTCCACTGTGACATTGGCCCAGAGAAAGCAAACTGTGGATAGCAACCCAAGTTTTATGGGGTTTAGAAATCTACTTGTATTATGTAAAACATCTTATCCAAGAATCAGCTTTTATCAGGTTCCTTAGCTGATTACAAGTTCAAGGCACTAAAGGAAAATGCAACTTAATTAACAAAAATGTTGCCATAAATGAATTCTATTGGAGATAAGAAAAAAGTAAAGAATTATACTTTAAGTATAATTTCTAGTATACCTTTCTCCCCCAGTGCTGATCACACAACAGTCTAAAATATTGTGGACCATGATTTCAGACAACAGTTTATCTGCCATTTTAGACTTTCAGGACCTTGTATTGTGTTTGGATAACTTGGCATTTTCAGATCTTTGCTAGCAATTTCACATGGATTCAAAGCAGATCTGTGGTTACTATTTGAAGTCTTATGTTTCTGAAGACTCATATCACCAACATTGAGAACTCATCTCCTGTATGTGTAAATCAGAACAGGAGCAACCTCAGTGAGCAATTTCTTTTCTTTTAACAGCAAACCCATGCCCTGTCCCTTTTGTGATCCCCGAGAATGCTCTGCTCTCTGAAAAGGAGTTTTATGTTGATCAGAACGTGTCTATCAAGTGTAGAGAAGGCTTCCTGCTCAAGGGCCAAGCCATCATCACCTGCAACCCGGATGAGACGTGGACACAAACAAGTGCCAAATGCGAAAGTAAGTCAACAGGTGTAACCCAGTGAGTTCAGTCAGTGTGGACTATTTTCCCATCTTTGTGACGTTATTGTCAAGTGGCTTAATTGTATATATACTCAGATCTCGGTGCTATCATAAGTTATCTTTTGCATTAATGTTCAAAATTCAAAAAAAGTTCTTCAAATACCAAACTTAAAAAAAAAACAAAAACCGTCCCAGAACTAAGTTAACACCTATCTGGCCAGGATTCACCAGGCATATTTCAGAACATGCTCTTTCAAGAACAAGCAAGAAATTAGATTGAAAATACATCTCCACATTGTCAGAGTTCCCTGACTCTCCTTTAACAGGCTACAAATGCTTTATGGATACAAAAATTATCCTATGATGGTTTTCAAACTTGAGCCTGTATCAGAACCGACTAGAGAGATTGCTGGAACGCAGATTGCTGAGGACCATCCCAAGAGTTTCTGATTCAGTAGGTCTGGGATGAGACCTGAGAATTTGCATTTCTAATGAGGACTATTATGGTTTGAATCTGAAATGTCCCCACAGGCTCCTGTTTGGAATGTTTGGTCCTCAGCTGGAGGTGCTATTTGGGGGTTGGGGGGGCTCTAGAAACTTTAGGACTTAGCTGGAGGAAGTAGGTCACAGGGGTAGGTCTTTGAGTGGCATCTTGTCCCTAACCCCTTCCTGTCTCAGCTGTGCTTCCTGACCACTATGAGGTGTAGAATTCTTACACTACACACTCCCACCACCATGATGTTCTGTCCAGGTACATGGGGTCAAGTGATCTTTGGACTGAACCTTCTAAAACCATGAGAAAAATGTCCTTCCTCCCATAGGTTATTTCTGTCAGGTACTTTGTCACAGCAACGAGAAAAGTAAGCTGGTCCAGGAACCACAATTTGAGAACCACTGGGCTAACACCACATTGATACATCCATTGTTTCCGCACTATATTCTGCAATCTGGTGATACCTCTTACTACCTTGTGATAACTTGTGAGATCTCTTAACAAGCACTTCTTACTTCCATTTAAAACATCTCCCCTGCTCAACATACTACCCTCGAGCCTCCCTTGTTGCAATCAGTAAAAATATTCATTAGGTCTGACACCTGCAAGGTGATGGGCTACATCGTATAGGAACATATTATTCACACAATGTTTATAACAATTAATGAAATAAGAAATATGCATTTGAAGACCTGGGTTTGAATTTTAATCTCAAAAACTTTCACTCTACATTTCTGCTAATGCCTTACCTTCTCTGAGTTTTTGGGCTTTCTTTTGTTAATAATACCTATTTTGTGAATTTGTTTTTCAAGAATAATTAAGTTGGTGTACACTGTAAAATACAAAATCTACTCCTCATGAAATGAGAACTAAGTATGTATAACCTAAAGTTTCTTTACCCTCCAGTCTGATTTAGAGCCACCAGGCTAAAGAAAAGCTGGCCAAGTGGCCTCATTTTGCTCACACATCCTCACCTTGGTCTCGGCTCCCCAAGACTTACCATTCAAGCCACTCTAAAATAAAAGCAAGAAAAGACGTGCACTTATTACAAATGTTCTTTGCATGCATACTTAATTATTCCTCAATGTTCTCGAGAGAGTCAGGCGTTGCCTTGGAGAGGAGACAGTTTCCACTATTGTTTATTATCCTTAATCCTCTTTTGCAATTTCTATTAGACAGGAAGTCTTGGGCTTAGACCCAAATATCCTTCCTTCCCCCAAGCAGCAACCTTCTTCATTCTGTTCACTACCTCTGATATTTATTCCTATAAATCAGTGATTAAAACTTAGTGTACATGTGAATCACACAGTGAGAGTAAGTAAAATGAAGACTCATAAGTCAGAAACCCCAGAGATGTGCATTTTAAAAAGAACCCCAAGTGATTCCCACATAGGTGGTCTGAAATCCATGTTTTGATTATCAAACTGCTATAAGCCAACCATTGGTTCAACATGATCTTTTTGCTGTTGCCCTAGCCTGGCTCTCTTTCCCTCTGACCCACTCAAGTGTATAGCCGAGTAAATGCCACATTCACTGTGATTCATGCCCTGACAATTGTAAACATAGTTACATTCACCTCAGTGTTTCTACACTATGGTATCCATTCCTGTAATACAGTTCATTTGAGGTTGTATTATAATGTTTATCGTTCCATACTTGTGTAAGCAAAGGGACAGCCTATTCTTCATTTATTTCTTTCCAATTTCTAATATGTAGTAGCCATTTTGTCCACCCTAGAAGGAAATTTAGAGATTACACAAATCTCTGCCAGAGACAACAAACTCTTTACTATTAAAAGTCAGTTCATGAAAACTTTTCATCCAAAAGCTAGATTTACTCAAAATGAATACCAGTTAGAGTCCTGAATCCAATCAATTCTTGTTTTGTGATCCACCTAGAATAATTCTGGCAATCTTAGAGCTTTTTATAAAATCCTCAAAGCAAAATTGGTTGTAAAAATTTGTATTTCAATATATGGCACATATGCCTTTACAAGACAGAGCTACATAAAACTCAAATACCATAACCTCATCCAGAGGCTACAGACAATATTCACTGATTTCCTCATTTTCCAGATCTGTATTGGAGTTCTTTGGGTGCCAGACACTGTTCTAGGCACTAATAAAACATTCCTGATGGGATAATGCATTGTAATTCATTATCTTCACTCTGAAACAGTGGACACCAGTCCTCCTGTTTTTCTCTTGTAAGCATCCTACATTGACCTTCTTTTGCATCTATCTCTTTGGTGAGGTGCAAGAGCTAGTTCTCAGGATTCTACAGACTTCTTTCCTGGAGTTTAAAATGTCTTCACCTTCAAGATTTGAATCAAAGAACAAAAATCTTTTGGTCTTATTTGTCTAGTTATTCTAAACAGCAGCAGACTATTCTTTTAATTGCTAGTGTTCTAGATATATTGAGGTGAGAAGGTTTCCTTTATGTGTTTTGCCTTTGCTCTTGTGTTCTCAGTCTAAGTTCGTGGCACATGCATCATTATTTGTTTCCTCTCCCTTCAGAAATCTCATGTGGTCCACCAGCTCATGTTGAAAATGCTATTGCTCGAGGTGTGCATTACCAATATGGGGACATGATCACCTACTCCTGTTACAGTGGGTACATGCTGGAGGGCTCCCTAAGGAGTGTTTGCCTAGAAAATGGAACATGGACATCACCTCCTATTTGCAGAGGTAAGGAAATACTTGAATGGTTATTTTTTAGTGATGCTACAAGGAAATGTGTATAGAAATCCAAAATGGCCAACAATTAGTATGCATACTACTTGGTTTTTCCTTGGCTTTAAATTTTTTCTTAACACTTGCATCTTAAGTTTATGGCTTGCATTTTGAAAGCTTGCATACAGAACTCTGAGGTTCTATGCTTTAAACTCTGCAAAATGGAAAAAAAGCAATGAGGCATCCAAGTATATCCCCTAGGACTTATTTTCCTAAAAAATATTTTAATTATAAAATCATTCATTCTACAGATACTTACTGAAAGTCAAGAACTATGCTAGTGAAAGAGACAGTCATAACTGAAGAATAGCCAAATTGTTCAGTGGGTTGGCCACATGGAAAATGGTCAGATTTAGATTTGGGGATTTTGTCAATACTTTTATTCTTTTTTAAAGTATTGTGTGGCCTGGTGCCAGTGGCTCATGCCTATAATCCTAGCTACTCAGGAGGCAGAAATCAGGAGGATCATGGTTCGAAGCCAGCCTGGGCAGATTGTTCACAAGACCTTATCTCCAAAATACCTAACACAAATAGGGCTGGTGGAATAGCTCAAGGTGTAGGCCCTGAGTTCAAGCCTTGGTACTGCAAAAAAAAAAAAAAAAAGTATTGTGTGTGTGTACTTAAGGTATACAGCGTGATGTTATAGATAATAAAATGGTGACTGTATTGAAACAAATTAGCATATGCATCCTCTCACATAGATATACTTTTTTGTGACCAGAGCAGCTAAAATCTCATTTAGTGAAAGTCCCAAATACAAGCCCTATTTTCTATGGTCCTGCTGTTTTACATTAGCTCCCTTGACCTGTTCATCCTTTCTCTCTATTTTGTATCCTTTGACCTGCATCTCCCCATTTCTCCATGTTCCCCAGAGAAGTCTATTAGATGAGTTCAGGAATGGGGATCTGAGTAACACTAGCATTGTCAGGTCAGTAAGGAAAGGAGGGACATGAGAAAGGGTGACAGCAAGGAGAGAAAACCAGAAGAGAGCTGTGGCCCAGGATCCAGAGGAGGAGATATTTTTGAAAGAAGAGCAGCCAACCATGACTCATGCCGAGGAACAACAGCTAAGAGAAGTTAAAGCACAGCCACTGAACTGGACAGTCAGTACAATATGAGTGAGACAAACCCATGCAGAGCGAGAGGGTGCTGAGAACAGAAGCCAGATTGCTATGGTTCGAAGAGTGTGGAGGAAACACAAGAAATGATGAAGACAAACACAAACCACTCTTTAGAACTCAGACTAGAAAGGAGGATAGAGTAGATATTTGGTGTCTGTTACAGGCTAGGGGGTAATCTATCTGACACTAGGTTATTGGGGGTCCATTGGAGAGGAATATGAAATAAGGATTAAAAAAAGAAAAGATAGACAATACCAGGGGGCAAATGGCATCACCAAAGATTTCTTAGAGGGGTAAATGTCGCTCTTCTCTCCACAAGCTCCCCAGCCCTCAGTAATCAGTGTAAGTGAAACTTGTGTGCTTCCTCTTGGAGCTGCACCTTCAAAACATACCCCGTAGCTACTTCCTCCTGCTTCCCACCCAAACTGCAGTTTGTACCCTCCTCTTATATCCATCATCCTTTGGGACCCTCTCAGAAGAAACAATAGTGGCAGAAGTTGAACATACAGGGTAAAGAAGAGCTTAGTAAAGCAGTGCTTGTCAGTCTGTATGTTCAATGTAATCCTCATCAAAACTCCCATGACATTCTTCACAGTGATAGAAAAAGCAATCCTAATATTCATATGGAAGCACAAAAGACCTTGACTAGCCAACGTTGCCTAAAACATGCAGTGGAGAAAAGACAGTCTCTTCAACAAATGGTGCTGAGAAAACTGGATATCTGCTGAAACTAGATTCCTGTCTTTCACCCAGTACAAATATCAACTCACTATTGGTGGAGATGTAAATTAGTACAAGTATTATGCAAAGCAGTATGGAGGTTCCTCAAAAACCTAAAAATAGAACTCCTGGGCATATATCCAAAGGAATATAAGTGAAGGATACAATAGAGGCACTTTCACACCCGTGTTTTTTGCAGCACTATCCACAATAGCCAAGCTATGAAAGTAGCTCCAATGTCCTACAACTGACGAATGAATTAAGAAAATAGAATATGGAGTCTTTGTTCCCGCTTACTGTGTGGGGAACAGGAAATGGTTTTCTCTCTTTCTCTTCCCTCCCCACCTTCACTCTGTTATATTTAAAAAAGAAAATGGAATATTGTGTATGTGTGTAACGGATATTATTCAGACAAAAAGAACAATGAAATTATGTTGTTTTTGGGTAAATGGATGGAACTGGAGATCATCACTTTAGGCAAAGTAATCCAGATTCAGAAAAATAAGGTTGCCTGTTTTCTCTCATATGTGGAAGATAGATCCAAAAGATAAACATATGCACAAATACAAACATGATCATATATACACACATATGTAGAATATGTTTGCAACAGTGAGACCACTTGAGGAAACTAGGGAAAGGAAGGCAAAAAGAGAATGATAGAGTGAATAATATTGAAATTCATTTCATCTGTGTAGGAAGAAGGCATAACAAGCCACACTGAAAGCTGTTGAATAAAAGGGTGTAGGGAAGAAAAGATAAGGAAGAGTAATAGAGGTGGTTAATTTGATTGGAGTGCAATATAGTCACAGGTGAAATACCATGGCAAACCTCTTTGAACATGAACATTCATTTAAAATGAAGGACAGAAATGTAAAACAGGTCCTCTTAGGGAGTGGATATTAGAGGGAGGAGGAAGGTAAATGGAGAGGGTATGGGGGTGGTGAAAGGAGAGGGTAAAAGAGGGTGAATGTGGTCAATGTACTTTATGTGCTTACATGAAAACAGAACAATGAAACCCGCTGAAATCATTTTAAGTAGGGGTAGGGAAGAGGGAGAATGCTCGTGGAAGTGTACTAGCCACGATACATCGTAAGAAATACAGAACTGTCACAAGGACAACCTGTACAACTAATATATACTAATAAAGATGCTTAAAAGACAACAAAAAGAAAGATGGAAAGAAGGAAGGAAGGAAGGAAGGAAGGAAGGAAGGAAGGAAGGAAGGAAGGAAGGAAGGAAGGAAGGAAGGAAGGAAGATGCAAAGAAAAAAAGTGAGTTTGAGAGGCTGAGAAGGGATGGAATCGGTGACACAGCTGATTCCTTTTCATCCTCAACCAAGCACTCCCAACCAGGACAAGCCGAGAGGAGGAGGCAAGGGCTCCATGGCCCCTCTGTGGAAGAATCATGCTGCAGTTTCTGGGGAAGTAGACCAGATGATCTCCTGCAATTAGTAAAAGCTGGGAACCTTCATATACAATCAACTTTGCCTGTTAACTCAATGGAGTCAGCTCCAGTCTAACAGAGCCCATCCTCAGGGTAGCCCAAGTTTCCAGGGTCTGTCCCATTGGAAGGAGCTACATCTACCTCTCACCTGGCTTAACTCAATCCAAAAAGGATACCCACCACTCTAGAGATTGTGGGAAGGTTTGGAGTTAACTTAGGGGTTTCAACCCTGATAAATGTCCTAGAGGATATTGGGAGGTCATCAGACCTCCCAAATCAATCTGGAAATCAGAGAAAATTTTTTCAACAATAATGCATTTAAAACTGTTAAGTACGTGTACCAAATCTTTTGGTAATCTAGAGGAAGATAGGTAAGTGGCAAGACAGATGTGAACACAGATATCTGTCATAGAGAGTGATATGTGATTTGTTGATGTGATGTGAGCACACACATAATGGAGTCCTTTTGAGTTTGAGAGTGCTGAGGAATGAAGAAGAGGAAAGCCATGGCTTATTTGCTGGAGAACTTGGGGGCAAATCATGGAATATTTCCCAGATAAGGGATATTTGAACTTGGTCTTGAAGACGGAGAGGAAGCTTAACAGGAAACAATTAGAGCAAAGGGAAGAGAAAGAGAATAGTACCCAGGCAGAGAAAGCCACAGCATCTGCAAAAACATGACATCATGAAAGGGCATGGAATTTTGGGAAACTGTGAGTATTGAGGTGCGCTACATCTGAGATTTCTTCCAGAAATTATCAAAAATAAAAATTTCAATGACTGTGGCTTTATTCACAACGGCTAAGATAATGAACCAACCTAATTGGCAATGAATGGGGTAATGAAAATGTAGTGTGCATATGCATATGGATGCAATGTAATATTTCTTAGGAAGAAAATTCTGTTTTCACCAACATGGATATACCTTAGTGTATTATGCTAAGTGAAATAGCCAGGCACAAAAAGACAAATATTACATGATCTCATTGATATGTGGAATCTAAATTAGTCAAACTCAGAATCAGAGAATACAATGGTGGTTGCCAGGAGCTGAGGAGAAAGGCCGATGGAGAAATGTTGATCAAAGGGTATAAAGTTTCAGTTATGTAAAATGAGTAAATTCTGGAAATCTAATGTACAACATTGTGACTGTAGTTAATACTGTATGGTATATTTGAAATTTACTAAAATGGCAGACTTTAGTGTTCTCCGAAAAAAGAAAGGAAGGGGGGAGAGAAAGAGGGGGGGAGGGAGAGAGAGAGAAGGAGGAAGGAAATGGCAATTGTGTGAGTTGGCAAATACAGTGATTGTGGTGATTATTTCACAACATATACATACAGCAAAACATCAGTTCAAGCACTCCACCACTTGAGCCACACTCCATCCTTTTGCTTGTTAGTTTGTATTTAGGTAGGGTCTCACACTTTTGCCTGGGTGACCTCAGACTGTGATCGTTCTATTTGTGCCTTCCAAGTAGGGGAGATTACAGACATGTGCCACCATGCCCTGTGAGTTGTAAATCTTAAACATACATAGTTTTTATTTTTTTTATTTACCTCAATAAAGCCAGGGGGAGCTTCAGTGGCAACAGTCAGTCAGTAGCATGCCACACATCTCCATATGTTGAAATTTCCTCTTGAGATTTGATTTGCTTCTCTTCCTTAAAGCCTGTGTCAAGGACGTATTACAAACTGTAAATGAACGATGTCGCGTTCTACTACCACCCATCAGAATTCCCCAGAATTATGAACCATCCTGCTTTCTTTCCAGCTGTCTGTCGATTCCCATGTCAGAATGGAGGTGTCTGCCAACGCCCAAATGCTTGCTCTTGCCCAGACGGCTGGATGGGGCGTCTCTGTGAAGAGCGTGAGTCTGCCCTTAAATCTCACTTTGAGTCCTGATAATTTGTCTGGAAGCTGCCAACTTAGGGGAATTCCCAGAAGCAATTTCACTGCTAGGCGGAATTCATTGGCCTAAATCCTTGTAGCAGACCAGAATGCATAAGGCTGGTCTGAATGTGTCAGTAGGTTACAGAAGACCGAGAATATTAATGACCTTGAACATACAGATGTCAAGGCTCATCTAAAGTCATTTTCATGTGCCTCCTGGCACACATTACCAGCATCTTCTTAGGAGGGAGTTTGTGATAGAGTCTCCTAGACCTCTCTTTCCATATGTCAGGTTTACTCTGTGCCATGCCAGAGATTGCTATAACGCTGTACACAGCATTGCATAACACCATGCTTTGCAGGGAGTATTTGCAGCCCACCATTGCCTGTTGTAATTCAGAACAGTTAAGGAAAGTTGGCACTCTTATTCTATACAATGCTTGGTAAATTAATATAGAATTTTGATCCTTATGAAAATATATTTCACTTAACTGGGGAATGTAAGTAAGTAGAGTATTTTTAATGTCTAAAGTATACATTGCTTTAATATCTTAGCATATTAGGATAAAATGTATTTCATATTTTCTTTGGGAGAAATGTATATAAAACATGGTGAGTAGTTAATGTGATGTCCATTGGTCAATACCAGTTTTTTTCTAAAAGTCAGGAATTTTATGAGACACTAAAACTTAATAAATGTGATTTTTTTCAATTTTTTTCATAAAGGAAGATGGAATGATGAAAATAAATTTAAGCTTACCAAAGCAATAATTGCACAATAATTAAGAAATAAGAGAAATCACTTTTTTTTCCTTTTCTCTTCTCCTCATCTTTTTCAGTTAGGGCTCCCAGACCTAACTGCTATCATACCAAGACCCCAAAGACTCAGAGGGCATTTATTCTAGGGTCCTCCAATTACAGGCCTGGTTTAACTCACTTAGGATTGCTAAACATATGCCTTCCCTCCTGCATAGGATAGAGGGGTATCCCAGACATTAATTTGCACACAAATCATTAGAGAGATGCTGTGAACATGCAGGTTCTGGTTCAGTAGATCAGTACCCAACTTCTCGGTGATTCCAGTACTATTGGTTAGAGAAGCACAGTTGGAGTAGCAAGGCAACAACCTCCCATCTTATAAACAAACTCTGCATCTTCTGGTAGGAGAAGTGATTGCCGTGGAGGGTGTAGCAGAGGTCTGATTCAGTCATCATCAGGCCTCAGTTCTGAAATGAAGGACAAGTTGTCCCATTACTACTAAAATGTTACAGTAGAGCTCATCTTATTTCCATTCTCACATTTACTTTTAGAGAGTTCTGAGGCTGCCAAACTCTCTTAGAGGATCTTACATAATTTGTAATGGAAATCTGAAATGATAATGAGTGGAGATCATTCTGCTTGTTTTCTGAAGATTAGAGCAAAGCACTTAGCAGACATTGATTACAGTGTGTCCTCACTGGAAGAGTGCATTTGGCATTTGGTCAAGAGTCATCCCATTTGGTGAAGAATCCAGACTTACTCTCCTGAGTGTGTTTTCCCAGTGATGTTCATTAATAAGCAGAACACATGCGGGAAGGTTCTGTATTGGGCCATGCCAGGTTTCCTTCCTAGAAAATGAATGTTCTTTGAACACTTGCATATGTCTGAGTATGTATATCTTGAGCAAATCCTTTTTTTTTTTTTAGCAATATGCATTCTTCCTTGTTTGAATGGCGGACGCTGTGTGGCCCCTTATCAGTGTGATTGCCCACCTGGCTGGACAGGGTCCCGCTGTCATACAGGTAAGCTTCCTCTTGTGGTTTATTTTCTCAGTATCCTATGAAAGCCTAAACCAAGTCATCCATGAATGTCACAAAGGAAAAATAATCCTGAACACTAAGCTATTAAAGTGATCTATCCAGTGTTTGCTTATAACAAATCAGCTTTGATTAAAGAAGACAAAAAGTCAGAGACTTGGAGTGATTCACAGAGCTTCCAATAAGTAGGTGGAACTTAACCAGGGGCTGCACTATGAAACTGGCTATCTTGGAAGGAAAAAGGGAGATGGTACCATATAAGGGTGTGAGGTAAGCAGAGTGACAGAAATGGGCACTGCAAGGAGTATTTGAGGAATAGTGGTGGCTGCAGCAGGAAGTAGAAGTAAGTCTTATTCCATGAGCCTTCGTGGACATCTTCATAATTTTTAAGTATTAATTAAATAAATGCAGGATTTTTTTCATTCCAGCTATTTGCCATTCCCCCTGCTTAAATGGTGGAAAATGTGTAAGACCAAACCGATGCCATTGTCTCTCAGCATGGACAGGACATGACTGTTCCAGGTAAGACAATACAAAACTAATGTCTATCTATAAAGATTAAAATTCAAGGTAAGTTATCTCAAGAGCCAGAAGGTATCTCTCTAGTTTGAGTGTACGCATATCTAGGTACACTCCTTACACTTGAAATAAAATCAAAGCTAAAAACTATTAGCTCGGGATTGATAAAATAATATCTCAAAAATAAAGTCTTGAGCTCACTTCAATAGTACATATGCTAAATTGGAACTATAGAGATTTATATGGCCCCTGCTCAGGGATGACACAAATTTGTGAAACATTTTGTGGCTTTCATTTTTTTCTATTTATTTATTTAGAGACAAGGTCTCACTGTGTATGTAGTCCAGGCTGACCTCAAATTTTTGGTCTTCCTGCCTCAACTTCCCAAGTACTGGGTCCAAATCTTTTCACAATTAAAAAAAGAAAGAAACAAAAAAAGTTTAAATAAATAAACCATATTTTGGACAGAGATTGCAAAGATGTAAAATGAATAATTAACTCCAAATATGTTTTGAAAATGAAAATGTTTGAACTCTTGATTACAATAAAAGATACTATTGAAATTAGTAAAAAGAAAAAGTGTGTTTCTAAAGTCAAATATTTTTGTCCCATATTTCATATTTCATTGGCTGTAAGAAAATTTTTATAAAAATATGTTCTGTTAATTTGTTTCTCATTTCTGATCACATAAATATCAGAGCTGAGAAAAGAGTATCACCAAAACAAGTCTAAAGGAGAATAGTTTTAAATTCTCATGTAACTTTTTAAACCTTGGGAAATACCAGACATATTGTACCATTCCATGAATAAAACATTTTCAGCATTCAAACATTGTCCTAGCTGTGTTGGAAAACCACCAATTCCAGTTTAAGACATTTAATATACATATTGCATTTCTTAAATTTGTGTTTTGTACATTTACCTCCATGCTATAGGAATAAGTAAAAACAAATTAGCATTGTCAAATTCATTTTTAATGTAGGATATTCAGCTAACTGAGGACAATTCTTCCCTCTGCTGGCATGTTATTTCGATTGGAATGTCAAAGTCAACTTGCAAGAAAAAAGCTATTAAAGTAAAAAATGTAATCAGAAAAATCTGTGCCAATGGATTTTCTTATATTGTCTCAAGTATATGCCATCTCTGCAGAGAAAACAAATAGCTAAGCCCCAAAGAGAACTTTGGAATGAACAAATTTTAGAAGCTGCCAAGATAAAGAACATAGCTTTATCTGAGAGTAGAGTTGAAAGTATTTAAGAAAACAAGAGCCAAGAAGAGAGAGAGAGAGGGGAGGGAGAAGAAGGAGAAAGCAAACAGTGACTCAAAAAAGAACAGAAAAAGTTTCTTATAATTTTACACTTGATATTTTACAGATAAGGAAAAAGAAACCCAGAGTTTGCATAGTTCCCCAACATGCAAATGTTTCTATAGGAGAGCTCCCTACTGTGGAGTAAGAGCAGTTATGAGCTTATATAAAAATGCTGTATATTAATACAGAGAGCAGAACCAGATTTTATATGAAAAGTAGATATAGAAACCAATTAAGCTGAAAACTGTGTCACATACCTAAGGAAAGGCTAGCCAACAGGACCAGATAGGCTCCCCCTCCTTCTACTGTAATCAGTTCTTCTAGGAGACCCAGATTAATTAGGGCACTCTTGTTAAAACTCTAACCAGCTAAAGAAAGGAACTTACCACAATAGAAGGAACTGTGTGGAACCCTGGGACAGAGGACAGCATCAGGAGGAGCAGAACTAGGAATGTGAAACCACCCCAGGCTTCCTCCCTCCTCCCTCACCTCTTCTCTCCAGGGGCTGCTTCATCCTCTCTCTGGCTGCACAGTGGTTTTCTCTGCTGGCCAGTTCCTATGGAAGGACAAAACTGCTCACAGCCCCCACATTTCACATGTCATCCTACAGCATCCAGTACACTTTTGATATATGGATTGCATTACAGCCCTGGTACAGTATCACAGTTTCCAAACCCAGGAGAAAGACCCTGATTGCATCTTGAAGCCAGGGACCAGCATGCAACAACGAATTGTGGGACTAAGTTAGGTTGTATTGTATCAAGGGAAATTTTGGCAAGACAGTTGGTAAAGGGGATGGGAGGCTAGCACTTCCTAGAAGAAAGGAAGGTAGAGCATAATTCCCTACAATGAGAGGGGACAAAGCTTTTCTGAGAGTCCAAACTAAGCCATATACATTTACAAATAATTGTTTTCCCTCTCTCCCACAAGATTGAGCATATTAAGGAGTTTTATGCTTAGTACATGTGCGTGCAAAAAGTAGATGCTTAATAAATGCTTGCTGACAATGGAGGAATTTCCTGGTATGAGTGACAGAACATAGAGAGATATCTTGTGAAATCCATCAAGTCCCTCAACCTGTAACCCTCTCTCTCCACTGATGAATGAGACGGATCTGGTCTTGATCTAAGGTCATTCAGTTCTTAAGAAAGAAATCGTGTTTCCTCTGATCTCTGTGCACATCTTCTGAAAACTGATCCTAAACAAATGCTACTGCTAAAAAACATGATTATTAATGTTCTAAGAGATCTTTAGGCCCATGAAGTCCAAACATTTTACAGATATAACGTTGTCACACAGAAAACCAGTGACAGAATTAGGTCTAAAACTCGAGTCTGCTGCTTCTCCAATCTTTTCACAAGTTAACACCAGTTCTCCATGCACCTTCACTCTTCCTAGGAATGGCCTCCATTCCTACAAACACCATCACGAATAACGCCCAGGGTCTGAGATTTTCATACCCCACCCCAAACTCTTGCTTCCTCAGCTCAGTCTTTTCTCTTGAATGCATTGTTTTTATTTTTTCAGGAAAAGGAGGAGTGGGTTTTAGTCACCACACACCCAAATGGCTCCCCTAAAGCAGAATCATCTCTTCCTGATAGCTCCTGGGCCTCCTGGAACCTACACGAAGAAAATCCAGTGCGGTGCTGGGGCTTGTTTTGTTTAGTAAGCTTGTTATTTGAGGTTGACTCTTTAATTTTGTGACATATTTTGTTATCACTTGTGACATCCTTTCTTACATGTTTCCATTTTTAAATATGCCTGTATTTTCTATATAAAAATTATATTAAATAGATGCTGCTCCACCCTCATAAAATGTACATATTCTGCTATCTACTGGGGAATTTTCTGGAACACATTTTATTCAGTTACTTAAAATGATTTTTCCATTAAAATATATTTTGCTACTAAATAATATTTTTCTGGATAGTGCCATTTTATGAGGTGGACAGGGAATAATAAAGAGGATTCATGATTTTTCCCTCTATGCTGCTGACACACATATTATCAAATGTAATGCACCAAGCAATTACAATAAAGGAGACTCCTGCCTTCTAGCCCCATCTCTTTTACAAAAGGTTTCCTTTATTTAATCAGAGAATAACTGTTGGATCTAGTGCCCTCCGCAAAGAATTTTGTCCTTTTTTTTTTATTTGTTTGTTTGTTTTGTTTTGCTTTGCTTTTAGGTACTGGGGTTTGAACTCAGGGCCTTCACTTTGAGCCACTCCACCAACCCTTTTATGTGATGGGTTTTTTTCAAGATAAGCGCTCATGAACTATTTGCCTGGGCTGGCCTCAAACTGCGGTCCTCCTTATCTCTGCCTCCTGAGTAGATAAGATTACAGGCATGAGCCACCACTGCCCAACTTGTCCTGTTATTGGGGGTGGCCTAGATAATTCCTTTCCCAAAAGTTGGAAAGCTGTAGGCCTCAACCTCCTGGATGGGGGGAAATCAAAATGGCTGAAGTTTACAAATTAGCATGCTCTCCTTCCTTCTCACAACTGACATAAGAATTGCAATAACTGGGAGATTAATAGGGAGCCTGTACCTGGGCCCTATTACAACCATGCTTTGGGAGAAGGGAGATAGGAAGGGAGAGAAAGGGAAAGAGAAGGGAAAAGGCAACTGAGAAAGGTTCCCCAAAGGCATGCTCGTAGTCTACCCTGCAGAAAAAGAATGCTACTTCCCGCAAGAGAGCTAGTTCATCTGCCTCCATTATTCTATCTACTTCAGGATAAAGACTTCCCCAGACTTCAGAAAATAAAGATAAACCCTAAGTTTTGTTTCACAATAGAAAAATTCACAATTAATTTACCCAACTTGGCTCCATCCTCTGAGAGAACTGCTCACGAGGCACAGAGTGCATGGTGGCTCTCTGTGGTGCCTATGTGGCTCTATGCAGGGATGATGAAAAAGTTCTTGCTGCTCATAATGGCACTTTTCCCCCAGCCACTGGCCCTTCCTTTCTCCTGAAGTTCATGGTCTTGACTCATCTTACATGCTTGTGAGTCTACCTTTAATCAGTTTATTCACAGTGTGTTAACTTCCACACCGTGCTGATCTTTATCATTTATAATCATAAAAATATGCAATAAAGCTTAAAATCTGAGTAATGAAAACAAAGATAGTACCAGGAAATTCTAAGCAAAGGAAAACAATTGAAAACAACTCAGTTCTCAAAGTACCCACTAAATAAGTATACCTGCTAGGTAGAATTTGTATAGGGTTGCTTTGAATAGATTAAAAGGTTTGCATTTTCACAGTGAGTTGAGTTAGTTGTGTTACACAGAGAGTGTAAGGAAAAAAACACTGTAAGAGTGATGTTTGAAGAAAAATACATGTTTGGAAATCAAGCCACAGAGCAGTAATAACTAAAATAGATGACAGCTATTTTTAAATCCTCTGGGTTAGATTTATTTACTGGCAAATTTCTGAGGAGGAATCATTTCCCATGCTATATAAACCACCTTGCTCACAAACTGGAAAAGATAATAGATATTGAGTACTGCTTACCAAGATCACTCTGATGCAAAAATCTAACAAAGATAAAAGTAAACAACTATAAATCAATTGTATAATTTAGCTGCCAACCCAGTTATTGAACAACTTCTATGTGCTGAACTGCACAGTTTCATAGACATTATTTCTTTGGATCTTCATAACAATCTTATTGAAATATGTATTACTATGGATTTTTCCAGGGAAGAATGTCAGGCTCTGAGAAGTTAAATAACTTGTGTAAGATAACAGAGTCATTAATTGACAAAACCAAAGCAAATATAAGGCTTAATAAAGCTTACTGTAGCATTTTTATAGTGAAAATATGGGCATGGATAAAATGTCCAACAATAAGGAACCCTAAACCATGCTACCTTGATGACATTTGCTGTATTGCATAGTCTTCAGTCTTGAAAAATGTCTATAGTAGAAAGTTAAATTGGGAAAATTAAGATACAAAATTTATCAGGCCAGGAAATAGCTCAGTAGCAGAGTGTGTACTTAGCATACAGGACCTGGGTTCAATCCCAAGCACCCCCAAAAAATTTTTTCATGCTCATATGGTAAAAACCTATTAAAAGTATACACGATGAGATGGGAAGAAGAAAGAATATATCATTGATCAAATTTAAATTCAGGTATGTCTGGCCCCAGGTGTCTGCAGGGTTTTTAAACTATGTTTTAGCACTGCTTCTTCTGTCTTTAATATTCATGTGGCAAACATAAAATAGTTTAAAAACAATAGATTAAAAAATCAATCTAAACATGACAATTGAATGGAACATGGCTTTTGCCACAAGAACGAAAAAATTGTTCAACCATAGTGAAGTTATTCCTACCCTATATCATGGAAGTGTCAAATACTAAAAGCCATATAGTCATTTCAATTGATGTAGGAAAAGCATTTGGAAAAATTAACATCACTGCTTAATAAAATCTCTAAAACTCACACTAGAAAGATACTTCTATAGTAAAGGTTTTTCTTTTCAAACTAATATCCAATGTTCTGATATAAGCTCAATGTTCTGACATAAGCAACAATAGAAGCCGACTAGGAAATTATCTTAAGCCAACAAGTTATGGCACAGTATGGTCAAATAAATGTCAAGTTCCTGTGGCTTTCCAAAAACAGAAAAAGGATGTAGCAAAGTCAGGCATGGTCAAAAAAAGGAAAGAAACAAAGGCAGTCAACTCAGCAAGGTCTTCTATGTTCTCTGCACTATGATTTATGGCAGTAAAAAAATTAGAAACAAAAGCCAACAATGAGGGATACTTGGAATAACCCACATGGTCATAAGATGGAATAATGTCCAGCCCTCAGATTCATGCAACCAAAGTATATTTCAATGACGTCAAGAAAATGTTAAATATGAAAGCAAACGTGAAGAGAATTTTCACAGACCCCAACTTTGTAAGTAGAAACAAAAATTCACTGAAAGTGAATCCACAGTATAAATTGTGGTCCTCTCTACATGGTTGAATTACAGATTATTTCTTTCTTCATATTTTCTAGATATTATAGATTTCTTATAATGATAACACATATCAGAAAATAAATGTTACTATTAAAAGTTGAGATTATATGGAAATATGATAGCTCATGTGGGGAACAATTTAAATGAATGTGGAAAAGATAATTAAGCTAACCAGATATTAAAATACAAAGCTTCAACAATTAATTCAATTACTATTGACTTATAAAGAGCCAGAGCAATGTCTATGGCAGTAAAACAGATAACCTAGAACATATAAGATAGCATATTATATAGAAAGCCTTCGCTGTTAGCTGAGGTCCTCAGAAAAACAGAGGCTAATGCAAGATTAGATAAGCAAGAAATGTATTAGAGGAAATGCTTGTGAGAGATAATAAGTTGGAAACTGGAAGGAACTAAGAGTTATCAGATTTGAATTAGTCAGTCCTCTGTCACTGACAAAACACCTGCGATAATGAAGTCAATAAGGAAAAGGGTTATTGTGGCTCATGGTTTCAGCCCAGGGTACTTGGCCCTTTTGCCTATGGCAGCATAGTACCACATAGCGGGGGGAGGAGGCTTGTTCACCTCATGGTGTGCAGGAAGCAAACAGACAGAGGGATCAGGGATCCAATATCCCCCTCAAGAGCACATCCCTGGTGACCTAACTTTCCTCTACTCGGCCCCACTTACCAAAGGTTCCAGCAGCTCTCAACAGTGCCCCAAACTGAGGACCAAGCCTCTAACACATGGGACTTCTCAGGACATTCAAAATAATCCAAGCTATAGCAAAAACTCAAATGCAGGCCTGCTGTTAAATGGAAGAAAGTTGAGTGGAAGCATCTTAGATTGAAATGCAGTCCTTAGAAAAGTTCAGAAGGACATAAGAGGGGATCCCTGTGTCCCAGGAACAGGCTCAGCTTAGTATTCCTGCCTCTCTCAAACTGTGGCCAGGAGCACCAGTGCAGCCTCAGAGTGCAAGCACAGGGATGGGGTCAGGTGTAGCAGCTGGACCCTTGGTTGAGTATGCTCCCTACAGTGGGAGATCTGAGGGCAGGATGTTCCTGTCAGCCTCATTTCCTCCCAACCTGTTTACCATTTGGAAAGACAAAATCAGTCTACATTATCACCGCCCACTGCTCACCAAAGTCATTCCAGTTGTGTTAAGGAGTTCAGTGTAAAGACTCAAGTCCTAAATATTAGAACATGATGTCTGTGTATTAATATCTGCAAAAATAAGCACTCTTTGAGCTTAAAAAGGGTCCACAAAGGTCATTCATACTGCAGAACTATTAATACTTTATCTTTTTGTGGCTGGATAATATTCCCTTGAATGGATGGACATTTGGGTTTTGAACCTTGAAGTCATTATGCTAAGTGAGAGAAGCCAGACCCAAAAAGGCAACATATCATATGATTTAATTTATATGACATATCCAGAGTGTATGTATATAATGTATCCAGAATAAATCTATAGGGACAGACACAAGTAAAGAGAAAATGGATAGTACTTGTTAACAGGCATAAGATGGTTTTTGGCAAGGTAAAATATTCTGCAGTTGGATAATTATTATGGTTGTACAACTGTGTGAATCTACTAAAAACCACCATATTGTATACTTTAAAGATAATTTTTTTAAAATCTAAAAGAAACAAATTCAAGCAAAAATGTGGAAACTTTTCTCACAAGTCAAACATAAACATGAATTGAATTTTAAAACCATAATAATATTTTAAGATGTGATTCAATAGATATAAGAAAACATTTTGTTTTAGGCAGAGAGATGAAAAAGCAATTCACCAAAGAAGAAATACTAAAAGAAAATAAGCAGCCTCAGGCTGGCAGAGTAGCTCAAGTGGTAGTGTGCCTGCCTAGCAAGCGTGAGGCCTTGAATTCAAACTCCAGTGCCACCAAATAAATGAAAAAAGAAAATAAGCAGTCCCACTAATAAAAGAATATGAATTAAAATGTGATCTAAACTTTTGCCCACCAAATTGGCAA